TCACTCTCCTCACCCCAGCTTCAACCCTCTTCCTCTTCGCCAGGACTGACACAGGGTAGGATTCCTTTCCCATGCCCCATGCTACTCCGGGACCTCCCGAGACCCTGCTTGCTAATCCCATCATTAAACAGGAGCCATCCCCCACCAGGCTGGGCCTGTGCTAATCACTGGGCAAAGGGGATACCCAGGTATGGCTCTTCTTAGAGCCATAGAGTGGATGAGGGGACAGCCAAACGTAATGTCATCTTGATGGCTGGCACTGTGGGCTTCTGAGCCCCAGGGACTCCACTGGCTTAGCCAAAGGGGCTACCCAGTGAGAAAAGCAAGGTCTCTCAGCCTTGTGCCATTTCCCCTGGGAAGCAGCAGACTCCTGGGTAGGTCAGTTCATCTCTGTGGCTCCTCCCTCATAGCCAAAGCACTGTCTTATTGACCTCTATACTGATCACTAGACTGGGGTGTCTGTGAGACCAGGGTTGGGTCCCAAGCACATCTGCCCAGCTTAGAGCCACTCAGAAAAGGGTCATTTTTATTACATATTCATTTTTATGTGCATTGGCGTTTCTCTTGCATGTATGTCTGTGTGAGGGTGCTGGATCCACTGGAACTGGAGTTATAGACAGTTAGTCATGAGCTGCCATGTGGGTGCTGGGAATTGAACCTGGGTCCTCTGGAAGAGCAGCAGGTTGAGTATTCTTAACCTCTGAGCCATCCCTCCAGCCCCTCGGGAAAGGATTATTAAATGATTCAGCCATGGACAGTGGGTGCCAGACTCCATGTGCCGAGGGTCTGGAACTTGGCACCAAGAGTGAATTGGTCACAATTATAGACCAGCCTACAAAGCACTGGTACCTCTGCCTTTGTGTCAGGGCGGGTCAGAAACCACATGGTAAACATTGTCCTCTCAGTGAGCAGATAAGGACACAGTCTCCGTGTGCAAAGGGGCTTCCCGTGCAGACACGGTCCATGGGCACACGGATCCTGTCTGACTGCACGGCTCAGGTGTGCTCCTCACCTGGGCAAGACTGTCCTTCAGGGAACTTGATGATCAGTGGTGGCGCCAGCCTGCGGAGCCCACACAGGGGCTGCCCCCAGACAGCAGGGTCTTTTGTCCTTGCCTCTCTCTATCAGAGCCATGCCACCATGGGTGCAGACTCCCACCTGCCTCGGACCATCACCCTGCTTCCTCACTGAGCCGCCCTGGGAACCCCACTTCTGGACTAGTCCGGCTCACTTCTTAGCCTGATGTCTCACGGCTGTGCGAGCATGCCAGCTCCTTTGGTGGCCATATGACCTGAACACACAGGCTGCTTGCTTCTCCTCTATGGCTGTCCAGTCGTGGGGCTGGCCTGAGATGGGCCCATAACTGGTTTGGTGCCCTGTAACCTCGATCTGAAAATTCCGAGTCATTTTTGAACACAGGCCCCCTCATTACCTCTCACTGAACCACAAGTGAGGCAGCCATTTCCACCTGAGCAGACTCCTCCGAGTCTCAGTTCTCTCCGCAAAAGCGACAGGTTTTGTTTTGCTTTGCTTTGGGGGAGGGGGTGCTGATGTGAGCTATTTTGAGGGTAGTGGATTCTTGGATGAATAGGGCTATGCCTTTGGAGGTTGGTTCTCTTGCAGGAGGTGTGCAGCAACCATTAGGAAGAGTCCAGGAGTTCTCAGCTGGAGCCAGGGCACAGAGAAAGATGGAACTCAGGGGATCACAGATGAACTTGTCTCTGACCTTGAGAGAGGCCCTCTTTCCTTAAGCTCCAGCATCATAGTTCCAGTGGACAGACCCAGGCCTTACTGGGCTGACCTGTACACCAACCCCAGCTCAGGGATGGGGATGGGGACCAGAGAAGGCCACTGGGGTGAGAAACAGGGGGGAGCCCATCCCCTGGAATAGCCTGCCACAGACTGCAAACCTCATCTACCACCTATGTGAAGAGAGGAATGTTTTCCAAGTTTCTCTGAGACAGTAGTAGCCAAACATCAGATCTAGGCGGCCTCTAGCCTTGGGGGGCAGAGGTAAGGCTGTTTTTAAGGTCCTCGGAGATGAGAGCCATGCAGTACTCCAGTACTGATAATGCCTTCAGCAGGGCCCAGGAGCTTCTGATTGGACATTTCTAGAGACAGAATGTTTAGTCTCATCCTACCAGCCTGTGCCCCACAGGGGACCTTGGTGGGTTCAACATGTGTTACACTTGGTGGTTACCCCTCGCCCAGAACAATATGGCTGAGGTGGAGGAGGGAGAGGTGATTTCTTCATGCAACATGGAGGCCAGATCAGCCACCAAGCTGCTTAGGGGATGTTCTCCCAAAAGCATTTAGCTACTGCTCTCCTTAGAGCAAGGCAGTGGTCTAGAGGAGGGACCGTTTAGCTGTGAGGTCATAGGACAGTGCTCACATGGCCACAGTAAAAACAGAGACTTCAGTTGGGAGCCAGGAAGAAGCCATTGAGCAGGTCCCGGGGGAGGTGGGGGAGAGGCTCGGACTCAAGGGGACGGATAGAAAAGCATTTCTGGAGTAATGAGCTCCCTTGCTAGGTAAGACACTTGTCTAGTCATGTGTGTGGCTTGCACAGGCCCCTGGAGCTGGTCTGGCAGATAGGACCCTGCGCCCAGGGTGCTGTGTGTTTCGTTTAGTCCAGCCAAGCAGATCCCAGCCACTGCTGCCACTAGATCTCTGCAGCTGGGCATAGGCTCCCCATTGAGGAGGAGAGGTCCAGGAATCTGGGAAGGCGGGAGTGTGAGACATGGGAGGCAGAGGGGGTGTCTGGTCTCTGGCGATCATTGTAATGAGGTGCTGTGGGCTACGGGGCTGGCACCTGAGAACAGACCCAGAGGACTTCCGGGTCACTGGAGCCTGAAGCCAGTGCATCGCCATTGGCCGGGGCAATGCCAGGAGGCCTGAAAGCCTGGCATGGGAGGGAATGAGTTGCAGTGGGGCTCGGTGCAAGAATGGGTGAGCACTCTGCCAGAGCCCAGCTCCCCGTCTCAGCTTCAGTCTACCCAATGAGCAGATGGAGCCAGCAGGTCCCCAAGGCCTCCTTAGTTAAATTCCAAGTCCCATCCAAGGGGAAGGAGGGGTCACAGACTATTGGTTTGGCTCCCGAGGACACAGTCCCCAATGCCTGAAACCCACCTCCACCACCAGAGAGGCCCAGGGCCCACCTAGCCCTGGCACCCATCACCTGCCCCCTCCCCCACATTCCCCTGCCACTGAGCTATAATTACCCACACCTGTGAGACAGGTAGCCTTTCTGCCCCTCTCCAGAGTGCTGTCCCACATGAAAGGCTGGCAGGCTCTCTGCTGGGGTGGGCGGCAGGATTCCCCTCTGGTTTCACCCCAGGAAAGGAAACGTTTGGTGGGCACCCCCCAGGTCAGCACCTGTGCCTTATGGCTTTTAAGTGGAACGTGTATTTGATCTTCATCTTGGCCTTGAGGGAAGCAGCTCATCTTCTCCCCAGGTGTGGGGCTGCCGTCTACCCTGCTGCCCCAGTGGATGCCTCTGTGAGGAGATGAGAGGGTACACATAGGCTACAAACCAGTTAGAACTGGTCCATGCTGGCACAGAGGCCCACCTGCCTAAGTGTGAGGAAGGCCGCCCTTCTCTGTGCCCCGACTTCAGGGGAATGCCTCGGAGAGACAACTTGGACCATGAAGGATAAGGAAATAGGCCTTGAAGGCCACAAAGAAACCCACTCACAGAAACCTCCATCCCTGGCTGGAGGTGCTAGCCTGAATCTCAGAGAAGCCAGTCAAGAAAAGTGTTAGTGGGGAGGACATCTGCTTTTAGTGGCAACCACGGCTCTTCCGGGATGGCGATGGCTGGTAGTGATGCTGGCCTTGAGAAAGAAGGGGCTGTCTTTGGGGACAGTACAGCCTCTGCAGCAGATGACACCCACCAGTGTGACCTAGCAGACACAACCCACTTGTGCATGCGTGCACACAAGGATATTAGTCTTCTGTCCCTCTCCTGCCACCCCTACCCTCTCTGGGGCAAAGTTCAAAGGCAAGACATCATGAATCTGATGGAATTAGGAGCGTGGACTGCTGATCCTCAAGAGTCTTCCTTCATCCCTTCCCTTGGGCTCACTCCCAAAGTCTTTGCCGAGGAGACTCATGACATTTGCAGAATTGAGGGAGAACCCTCCAGGCAAGCAGCCAGAGCCAGGCACCAGGTGATGCAAGATGGAGGCATAAGGGTAGCTAGCGTGCATTGTGGAGATGGGCGCTCAGTGGTGCTCTGCTGCCCCACAGGAAGGGGTCAGAGAAGCCCGCTCACACGGGCACTGTTTCATGAGAAGCCAGCCTTCCAGGTGCTCATGAGGAAAACCAGGTGGCAAACGACCAGAGCGGTCTGGGAGGGCGGTGGGTGAGCCAAGCACGGCCCGGAGAGCCAGCTCTGCCAGTCTCCTGCAGGCCTGCAGAGGATCACTCTCGCCCCACGGCGGCTTCGGTGACCTCCGTTATGCCCCCAGCCACTCTGGCCCCTTTGAATTTTGCAGGAGGAGGGGGGGAAAGCATTAGACAGGCTTCAAGTGGACACAAACCAGACGCTCTGGCAAAAGGTTCAGCAAGAGCAGATGTGAGGCTGGGAGCACCCCGAGGCTGATGGATGATGTGCCGTCCTCTTACCGGGCCGGAAAGCCGTTTCACACCAGGCTGGGCTTAGGCGCCCCCATGCCTTCTGACAGCCACCATACAGGATTGGGTGTCTGAACCCAAACAGGGTCAAGATTTAGAACTCCGCTAAGTAGCTGCTAGGTTGGTCTCAGCGCCGATCCTAAGAGTAACCTCTACACAGTGAGTAACCTTTACCCCAGCACAGCCCTAAGTCATCTCCTAAGACATTTCCATGGGACCGGTACCAGCTCAGGAAGTGTCCCGACAGCCAGGGTACCATAGACAAAGCATGAACCTCGATTCCTGCTCTCACGGATGGGCAAGGATGGTAGCTGGTTCCCGGGGAAACTAAGCGTCTCTGTCTCTCCCTTCCCTCCCCTCCCCAGAGACATGCGCAGTGAACAATGGAGGCTGTGACCGGACGTGTAAGGACACTGCCACCGGCGTGCGGTGCAGCTGCCCAGTTGGATTCACGCTGCAGCCGGATGGAAAGACATGCAAAGGTCAGCACATGGGCTGTGTTGGTACCGCCCTGCCTGGCCCCGGAAGGCCCAGATGGCCCTGCAGCTGGGCCCTGTTAACCAGGCTGCAGGGCAGATGAAAGAAGGCAGCTGGCAACCATGGGGAGTCGCTGTCAGAGACGATAAGAAAAGGAAGAGTCCCCAGCAGGGTACTGTGGCACACCTGGAGTGTCCTGGGTCAGGAAGGTCCCGGTGCCATAGAATTTGCCTGTGGCTTAAGAGCTAACAGAAACCGCAACAGGACATTCTGGACCTTCAGCTCTCGGAATGGGGGTGTGGTGGGTGTGGCCCAACCCTTGGCCTTCGGTTGTATGGCCTTTAGTGTCCAGCTGGTAGGGGACAGCTTGGAACAGGGCATGCATCATGGTGTGTCGCTACCACAGATGTGTGATGGGACCTCAACCGAAGGCAAAGGGACTTAGTTTGGCATAGAAATTGAGGAGCCTGGAGGTGAGAATGAGGTGGCTGAGGTGGAAGGCAAGACTGCCCTCCAGCTGTGCAAGAGAGAAGGAAGGATGAAGCTCCCACTGCTTTCCCCATTGATGTTACAATAAGCCAGCCATCACACGGGACCCCAGGAGAGCAGAGTAGATCCAGGCTTTACCGTGCCCTCTGAGGCATAGGCTGACCCTGGCCATGAGGGTTATGTCGAGCTTCATTCCTGTGATGAGCCCAGGGTGGTCAGGAATAGAGCAATAGAGACCAGCTGCTCACCCCTGAGAGCCAACTTATCTAGCCAGAAAGGGCCTGGGCCATGTGTGGTCTGAGATGAGAAGGACTTCTGCCCCACCCCAGGCCAGCAGCCCAAACCATGTTCTGCTCTGTACTCCATTTGCAGGGGGGGGGAGGGGCGGGGCGGAGATAGGTGTAAAGAAAACATCACAGCCTTAGGTCCACTGGCCCTAGCTCCCACCCACTGATTCTCGGTTTCCCATGGCTCTTCTTCAAACGGTTGGGCCCTTTAACCAGGCTGGCTCTTCGTTAACCCAGCCCTTGGCCAAACCTCCTCCATGAACATGCGCCACTCCTTGGGGCCCTCCCTCCCTCCTGACTTCTGGAGTGGGCCAGCACACTCAGGTGACTGGGGTGCTCTGGCTCCTGCTGGGTTCAGGTGCTGGGAGGAGGGGGGTATATTGAGCTGGCTTCAGGGTCCGATGTGAAGATGCACCAGCAGCTTGCCCACGCATGATGGAGTCCTTGTGAGCTGCGGGTGGAAGGTGGGGGTGGGGGCAGTGGCCTTCACCAGCATAGGGTGTTGACAGCATTTTCGGGGACTGCTGGCCAGGCCCCAGTCAAGGTTAGGGAGGGAGCGCACAGGCCTAGATTGTCATCTTGAGATGGTCCCATAGCACATGGCCTCTGGGCAGAATCGAGAGGAGCATCAAGGCTTCTGGTGACATTGCTTGGACCAGGTGACCATGGCAGGGGAGAAAGGGAAGCTGAGATTCCTCTATGGAGGCTACAAGCATTGCCGGGGTGGGGACTCATGTGTAAGTGCCTAGCATGGCCATCATGACATCGTCAAGTCCAAGAAGCCAGATGGCAACCACAGACCCCAGGGGTAGGGGTTGTGGAGTTCTTGACGGTGGGCTAGAGTTTCCAGCAGGGCTCAGGGCAGCACAAGCCAACCGGGGATTCCTAGTGAGCCTGAGGGCCTGCCCTGGGGTTCCAACTCACTAGTCAGGTGCACACTCTGATCTTGGCGAGGGTCCCGGGGACAATATCAAAGGGATGACTTCAAAGGTTCGGTGTTTTCTGAAAGCCCAGAAGTCATCATCAGGCAAGCCAGGTGGCTGCAGGGGGGCGGAGACAGCTGGGAAACCCAGAGCAGAAAGCCCTGGACCAGCTAGGGGCAGCAGAGCATGGTGGGAAGATGTACCGAGCATGGGGACCAAGGGCCTGGGGAGTTTACCCCAGACTTAGCACTGCTCTAGGCCGCCAGCCCTAGGCACCCTGTTTAATACAGTGCCACTTGCTATCAGATGGGCATCATTGCTTCTGATACTGAAGCCCCTCCTCCTGCCATCTCCCAGAACAGCCTGGGAGAGCCCCCACCCACTGCCTGTTCTTTCTCCTCCTCCTCCTCCTCCTCCCCCACGCCCTGAGCCAAGCAGGCCACCTGCCAGGACTCCCATCAAAGTGGGAAAGAAGGTGTCCTCACCTGACTTGCAGGCCAGGCCGGCCCAGCCCGTGGCCCCCCTCTGCACCCACCTGAAAACCCTCACACATAGGCACCACAGGCGGCCAGGCTGTGCCCAGTGGGAGAGCAGAAGGGAAGAGGGGGTCGGTTGGTGTGTGCCTTCCTGTGGCACACCCCATGAGGGCACCCCTATACACATGATCCTGGGCCCCAAGCCTCTGTGCCCTCAGCTCCCCCTCCTGTCTGAGATCCTTGCCTTGCTCCTGATGACATCATTCGTCTCTTAACTTTGTGAACATTCTCAGGAAGTCCCTGGGCCCTGAGGGCTTACCTCTGCTGCCCTCAGACTTTCCCATGTCCCCCGAGAACAGGACCCATGACAAGAAAGCGGTTGGCACAGCTTCTCTAGGAGTGTGGCGGGTAGAGCCCCACAGAGGGTCGGCAGGGGGAAGTGGACAGCTGAGGCCAGACCCAGCTGCAGAGGGAAGAGCTGTGAGAACCCAGGCCCTTTGTCCTGGGAAGCCAGAGGCCTCCTCGGCACGCTTGACGGATATACCATGGAAGGTGGTACACCGGTTGCCATGGCGGGGAGGGGGACCCAGGGTGAAGGGGGGAAGTGAGAGGAAAAGAAATGGCACTCTGGGGACTCATTGGAGGTTGAGGGCCCTGTGAGGCCAGCAACCCCCTGCTAGATCCTGTGCTGGGCAGGAGAGCGGGTTTCCCACCACCTCCAGGGAGCCAGCTGGCTACGCCTGAGCTCTTTCTCATTCTGACCCAGTGGCAGCCCCTTCCCTGACAGGCTCAGGTGGGGAAGGCGCTCCAAAGGCCTGAGGCCCTCTTTGCGGGAGGGGTCAGGAGTCCAACCATGCAGCACCAGGGCGCACATGAGCAGGACACGGATGGAGGGGAGCTCACAGAGGTGGACACACGTCCTTGAAGTGTTAGCCGGAAGGCCCACACTCTGAGGGAGCAAGTTCCCTATCCCTGGAAAAACGTGAGCTGAGGCCAACCGGCAACTTGCTCATGAGAGGGGAATGGTGTGAGGGGCGCCATAAATGGCAGAGGGGTGAGGCCAGTGATCTGTGGAGTGTAGTGACGACTCACGAACCGCTGGATTAAGGACAGGTCAAGCCAACAGACGGGGGAGTCGAGTGGGCCCAGACCTCACTCACCTGAGGAAGCCTCGTCGCCCAGGTGCTCTCTCCCCCTCAGCAGGCTGCACGCTGTGACACTGGCTTCTCAAGTCTGCTGACACCCACTGAGCCCCAGCATCTTGGAGATGTGATTTCCTGTCATCCTCAGGATGTCTGTCCTGGGTTGTGGGAGCCTTTTTATCCTCATCCTGAGATGGGGGGGGGGCATAGCTTGGCCCTTGTCACCTGGGGCAACATTGCTGCGGCCTCCCCAGGTGTTTGGGTAAAGGGACGTGGGAGGCGTCACTGTTATCCTGAAACAAGGTACCAGAGTCACCAATCACAGGGCTAGCCAGGGACCTTGGGGAACCAGGGTTTAGCTACGTGCCCAGGCTCTTCCCGTCTGCGCTCAACTGGGGACCAGAGGCCATCCCTAGGCAGTGAGCAGCAGGTGGGTCAAGGCCACGAAGGCAGGGTGGCGCTGCCCCTTCCCCAGGCCATCTCCACCATGGCACCTGAGCCCACCCCCCTCCCCCACCCTCTTCAGACATCAACGAGTGCTTCGTGAACAATGGAGGCTGCGACCACTTCTGCCGAAACACCGTGGGCAGCTTCGAATGCGGCTGCCAAAAGGGCCACAAGCTGCTGACGGACGAGCGGACGTGCCAAGGTGAGCACCCACCAGGCCCGAGGTGCCCCTCACAGTCAGCCCTCATGATCCCTGCCTTCCAGATTCTTGCAAACTCCCAGGAGAGGAAAGCACTCCCGCTGGGTAGCTTGGGATACAGAATTCTCCAGAACTTGGTGCCTGCTCTTGCCTGCCTGTCCTTCGTGACTTGGAGTCATGCAATCCAACCCTGTCTCCCGTCCCTTTTATAGATGGAAAAAAGAGCTGGGCATGGTGGTGCGTGCTCCAGTTCCAGCTGGGACATGATTGCAACATTGAGTCTAGCCTGGGCTACACAGTGAGACCTGATCTAAAATCTATTTATGGGAAACTAAGACCCAGAGAGGGATCTACCCACTCTCCCCCCACCCCCATCCATGCCTTCCTCCTGAAGGCCACCCAGCTCTGAAGGCACAATACTGCCTTCTGGTGGAAGGCATCGCGTATCACAGACATTTTCCCGGCAGAGGCTTGACTGCTGTTAGGACCAAGATAACTGAGGATCTGGCTGGACAGGCATCCCAGGAGGGGGTAATCAGGGAGATTCCTGGGAAAGCGTGCTGGACAACCCATTTCCCAAGAGAAACAGGAAGTTGGTCCATTAGGAGAGGGAGCTTGGGGTACATGAGACCTTAGTGGGGTTGAGCAGGGCCATTGGGAAAGAGCAGCTGCCCTGGAGAACCAACATGGAGAGGAAACATGAAAAACATCAGGGCCTCAGTTGACTATCCTATCCTGGGCTACACAGCGTCTGGCTCTTTTGTTCCCGTACGGCCCCCGTAGTTAAAGAGCAGGCGGCCCTTTGGTTATTAGACTGGCAGCCTCTGCCTGTGAGTACAGTTCAGTGTCTGGGCAGTGAGACCCTCAAGTCTCGGGTCCTGGTAAGAAGAGGCTGCCAAAGGGTACCCACACCAACCTGGCCTACTCACCGGGTCAAGGCCAGTCACACCCTCCCCCAGGCCAGGCCTCGCTCCCCTGGAGGAACATCCCGGCCCATCTTTTCTAGATGCAGGCTGGTCAGGATCCCAGGGGCGGGCCAGCCCCCGAGGGCTCCTCCACACTCCGGCTCTGTTTTCACCATCAAGCTCTGTGGAGGGCCAAGGGCAGTGGTTCTCAACGTGTGGGTCACGACCCCTTTGGGGGTCAAACAACCCTGTCACAGGGGCTGCATATCAGAGATTTAAATTGCAATTCATAACAGTAGCAAAATTACAGTTACGAAGTAGCAATGAAATAATGTTATGGTTGGGGGGTCACCACAACACAAGGAACTGTATGAAAGGGTCGCAGCATGAGGAAGGTTGAGAACAAGAGCCTTTGATCTTGAATCCTCAACCAGCCCTGAGAGAACAGGCAGGTTGGTAGGCACACGCAGGCTCTGCACCAAGGCCCCTGCTGGCATACCCCCCACCCGGCCCCATTTCTATCTCCATCCTTTTCTAGCTCATCTATCTGAAGGCTCCCTGGGTCCATCAAAGAAGAGTCCAAGCTCCTTAGGGACTCTGGCACCTTCCCACTGCCCTTTGACCTTCATACAGTCCCCTGGCCTCCCTGCCTTTGTCTGGAGCATCCCTTCTCCTTTCCAAGAAGGACCCATCCACAGCCCAGGAGGTCCTCCCAGACCCCAGACAGAGCTCACACCCTCATTTGAGAACCCACAGAACAGCATCTCCCGCATTAGGGACTTATAAACACATACATATTTCGAATAAGTATGACATTACTAGAGTTGGAACCAATGTATTCTGAGAACAAACTCTTAATTGCTATGCCTATGGAGGGTCAGGTCGGTGTCTATTTCTCAAACTTCTCAAGAGAAATGAACTGCATGCTCACAGGAGACAGTCTGTCCTAAACATAAACCCTGGGGGAAATAGCTATTATGTGTGTATTAGTCAATATTCTGTTGCTATGAAGAGACACCATGACCAAGGCAACACTTATAAGAGAAAGCATTGAATTGAGAGCTTGCTTACAGTTCCAGAGGCTTAGTCCACTATTGACATGATGGGGGACTAACAGGTACTATGGAGGTCCTACCCCTAATAGTCCTCTCAGAGTCCGGGAAGAATCTACAACCAGCTGATAATTTAATCTTTGACGATAGTAAATGAATCTACATACAAGAACCTCTTTAGTTCATTCACTTGATTCTTCTGAGTCAGTTCTCTCTCTACACAGCTTCTATTCTGCTCTCATGCCTAGCTCCTTTCTTGCCTGATTCTCTCTACATCTTTCTGCTGGTCCCTCTAGGACTATCTTAATTCTCTCATCTTAGTTCTGCCTTATCTAGGTTTTCATCCATCTAGTTCCTTCCCATCTTAGCTCCTCTCCATTCTCCTTCTCTCTCGTCTTGTTCTTCCCCATCTGGCTCTTCCTCATCTTCCATCTCATTCCTCTAGTCCTTTCTTCTAGCCCTTCAATCTAGTTCTTCCCCATCTCAGTTTGTTCCTCTCCAGTTCTTACCCATCTAGTTCTTCCATTCTCTTTTTTCTTCTCCATCTCGTCCTTCTCTGAAAATAAAACTGCGTTTTTATCCCTTTGGCCCTCCGTCTCTGGCAAGTGTGTTCAGTCAATAGGCGACTCTTGGTTAGGCAACTTCTGTCACAGCTAGGTGTACCTGTAAGTTGGAACCCTTTAGTTCTGAGTTAATTGTTAAGGGTGGATCTAAAACTAGAGATAAGACTTTGGAAAGGAGAAAGTTAAGCTTAATTAGCACATCCGCCAGGCCTTCTCAAACACATAGTCTGGATGCTTAAGTCTGAGAGTACAGAGGTGTCTCTGATAAGATACTTCCGTCCCTCTGGGGATGGTCCTGGCCGGATGCTGCTAATGATGATAATGACATAGAGCCCTGAAATTAGGGATCCTGGCTGCATTACTGCTCAGAAGGTTATCTAAATATTCCTTAGTAGAGGAGAAATTGTGCCCAATGGATGATGGAAAGCTACAATAGCACATGAGAAATTCATAGTAGGAAACGGCTAATAATCAAAAGCCAATATCACCAAGACTCCTTGAGCCTCAGCTTCACCTCTGGAAGGTTTCAAAAGCCCAAGCCAAGCCCAGTCTCTCATTCTGCCTGTGGATCAGGATGTAGCGCTCAGTTACTGCTCTGACGCCATGTTCCCTGCTACAAGCCACAAAAATATATGAAGTAGGATTTCAGCTGATTATGACAAAGCTAATACCTGGGAGAGCCAAGGGGCTGCTTCTGCTCACCGGGCTGGAACTTGGCCCCTGTTCTATCACATTTGTATCAGCTGTGGATGGTTCCCTCTCCTGCTGGTGCCTTCCTTGAATTCCTCTTCACAAGCTGGAAGCTTAGCTGGGTGGGGTCGTGCCCTGAGGTCACCGCTCCCTTTATTCCATTTCGCATCAGGCTTTCCTTTAAACTCTTTGAGCTCAGGACTTGGCTTCAACGTCGCCTTTCCTGGTGCTCCTTTCTCCTCACACTTTCTATTTCTCTTTGTCCAGCTTGTTCCTTGTCATTGTTGATCCACATAAGGGTGACCACGAATAACCACGTGGCAGTCAATACTAGGCTGTCTTGAAATCCCTTCTGCTAATGCCATTGATCCAAACCTCTTCAGTGTAGTCTCAGGTAGATTTCTAGCACAAGGGCAAAAAGCAGCTGCATTCTTTGCCAAAATATCACAGGAATGTTCTTTTTTTTTTTTTTTTTT